ATTCCTGTGTGAATGCCTCTTGTGCGAAATTTCAGCTGCTCTTTCTGGAATCTTTAACTTAACCAAATCTCAGAGCTACTTCCTCTTCATTTTACTTCCTCTGCATTTCATAGTAAACTGGGTATGTTTTTTTCCCTTTAAATCTTCCCTTCCTCTGGCATCTGTGACTGTCCTCTCAGAGGTTTTGTGCAGCTTTTTCTTGTGTAGATAGAAAGTAAAACAACCACAAAAATCCTGGTTTAAAAAACAGACAGGCAAAGAAAAATAATGAAATAGCTTTCAAGTGACTTTTTAAATTGTTCACCTTATGGTAAACAAGCCTTGTTTTCTCAAACAATTTTAGCTAACAGTGCTTACATGTCAGTTGGCCTTATATTTACTATCCAAATTTTTAAACAGAAGGGGTGAAAAGATGATACCAAAAGTCTCTGATTTTGAAAACACAGATTTAATTCTAGAAAAGCTGTACATTTCTTGGAGCCTCCAATGCATGTTACAAAGCCAGTGCAGCTGTTTCAGGATGATTTCAGCCTGCTGCTGGCAACAAAGTCTTCAGCAAATGCATATTTTTAGAAGTTCTGTTTGTATATGTATTCATTAGTAAAACATTGCAGGTGGTTTATCTGGAGTTTGAAACTTTGCTTGGAACATAGCCCCTCTTGGCATATGTGCCCCCTCACATCCCAGCAGATACTTGAAACAAAAAATAATTATCTTGGATATAGAACAAGGGCTCTAAATTAGAATGTGGATGGGAGGGTTAACCATAAAAGATTCTGATGTGAAGACCAAATTGAAATGGTTTTGGGATATTTTCTTCTCATTTGGTGGTATAAGTTCCTCATGCTTTGCATTGTTCAGTGCAGGTAGTGGAGAAGCTCAGGGGTGAGAAATGAAGAGTCAGTTCTTTTGTTTGTAGTAGTTAAAGCTTCATACCTTCTCTGAATCTGAGGTATGATCAGACTTTGTCCTGCAGGCCATGGAAATTGAGTTTGTTTCAAGTTCACCAAAGCATGATCCCCTTGGCCTTGAGAGGGCATGTGATTAAGTGGCTTTTTTGGGGGGTGTTGCTTTCAAGTGTGGAACAAGAGAAAGGCTGAAGGATTGTTGGTGCAGCAGAAACTAACTGATTCTCAGTCTTGCAATATTGAATTACTTATATTGAGTGAGTGCTAACTCAGTCCGATTGGCAGGCTGGCTTGGTGCTCTCCAGCTAGGAGAGCTAGAGTCACTTAGTTCTTTTTGGGTGTTTCTTGCTGTAAGAGAGATTTGATACCTAGCTCTGAGGTTTCTGGACTTAGATAAATTACCAGCTTATCCATGTATGTTGCATTTTATCTTGAGCCCAGTCTTGGGAGAAGGTGTTCAGTGTCAGCTCTTACTCTGTTTCTGTCTAAAACAGATTTCTCTTTCTCAGCTTTTCCTACCAGATAGGGGTACCCCACTGTAGGTTCTTGTCTTTCTGTTCTCATAGTCTGGGAACTGTGTAACTTTACAAATTGTTTGCCTGTTACCATTTTCATGCTTTGAGATCTAAAGAATGTAAACTCATTAAAAAGGAATTTTCTTTTCTCCCACGACAGTTAGGCAGACTTCCTTACCTGCTTTCTCTGCCATCAAGACCAGCTTCAACATTTTTCTTCTCTTTCAGTCAATACTCATAAATCCTTTTCTCCTTTCAAAAAGGAGGAAAAAAAGAGGAAAAAAGTACAGTAAAGGAGTTGTTAAGCTGCTTCTAGTTAAAGACGAATTACTGTACATGGTCAAGGGTATCTGGTTGTTCCCTGTGTCAGTCGTAACCAGGCCTATATGACAGAAGTGTGCAATATTTTCTAAGACGTTTTTCCTGAACTGCCTTATTTATTTTCTGAGTTGCCAATAAAATATATTATACTCTACAAAAACTTGGGGGAGAGTTTTGCTTTAATGGGGAAAGGATATATTTGCAGTATTTTATAACCTGTTGGTATTTACGTACTGCTTCTACCTAATGCTGTAGGGCAAAACTGAATTATCAGAATAGCTATGGGTAGATGTTACTTATTACTGACTAAACCATTTCTTTCCTACATCAAAGTGT